ACAAAATGAAAAGCAGCATCCCGACACATCTGAAATATAGTGGCACAAATGAGTTCTTGAATCCATTCAATCTGCATTGTGGAACTCTGTATCTACCAGAAGGTGACTTAAATGAAGACGACTGACTGCCTGCCTCGTAACACGGTGAGGATCTCTGGAAGGAAATACAAAGAACAGGTTTTAACAATTAAGCTCTACACTGATTGAGAATCACTCAACTGAAATATAAGACCAGAACCAATGTTCATCAGCTTACTACCTTGGGATTAGGCCTGGACGATAAAACGGCAGATATTTATCGACGGTACACTTCTTCGATAACGATAGAAAAAATGTTTGATATGGCGCACGATATAGGCACGTGCTCTGAGTGACGCAGACAGCTCACACAAACACGAACACATGCTGAACTGAGTTCTGTGCTGCCTGTGATGAGGAGATTGTGAATAAAAAATGAATATTAGTCGAATTTAAAATAAACATTTGCATTTGAATGTTAGGAGTGCGTCAGGGAGCGTCATCAGTGGCGCACGAGATGCGGTGATGATGATGTAAGTGACGTTGTTGCATGTTTTAATGTTTTGTAAGTCTAGCCCACGAGACGCGCCGCTGCTGAGTTATTCATTCAAAATTAGAGAACTCACGGTTCATAAAGACACGTGCCTCACGCGCTCCAGCAGAACCCATATCTGTCTCAGACAAAATGAGTTTCTCTAATTTCTTGAATGAATAAAAGTTACACCTGCTTCTGAGCAAACGTAAAACATGCATAAAAGACATCTGAGTGTTCAAGCTCTATCTTTTAAAGCTGGTTATGAAATGCAAACATGTTGAGGATATCGATGAAACAGCCACAGCTAATGCAGCAGAGCATAAATCACGTCCCAGTGAGCCTTTCACCGGCGCTCTATAGAGTGAGTGAGAACTTGACTCAGATGTGCCCATTCATAGGTGCACTTTTGTTTCTACACTGAAACTACATTAAATCCATAAACTACACAAGAAAATTAGTCATCACCAGCCCACCTGCTGAGAGAAGGTGTGGAGACCAGGTGTGGTCATAATTACCCAGACTTCCTCCCTCAGCGGATCGAGGCTTCTACGGTTTCACCAGCACAAACCAGCGTAATTCGATGAGGACTTTAGGGAGTCTAATGAACAAACCTGAACAGGGGCCTACTGTATACGGAGGAATGCGGGCAGATCTGCTGCTGGATAAAGGCTTTTGTCAGGCCTCTCTGGTGTCCAGGCAGACTGTGAGAACCCAGAGAAGAAGAGCTGGACTCTGAGCCTTCTGTCTCAAACAGATTATGTGCAATTAACTTGATTGACTGCCTGGAGAAAATGAGGTATCTGCATAAGGCCATCAGTAGATCAGTAGCTTTCAGGCCTTCTCAGCATTCACATCAGCCAGTTCTTACAATTATGAAACACACAGCTTTACGTTTCTCTCAACAGCATCCCTGATTACTGACGAACACAGAACAGCTTCTCAGAGATCAGTCTTTCTGTATCAATGACTACAATATTCTCTGTAAATGATTCCACTTTGGTTCCATGGGCTTCGTTTCTGAGCAAGAGAAGTAAAGCATGAAGCCTGTATTCATCACTGCATGAAATCATAGATATTTGACATGACGCTGCTGATCAGCCACAGCACACTTATCACACTACGCTGGATTTTATTTGCCATCCTTGTGAACTTGACATGTGATATCACCATGAATGTCAGTGTTTCGCATACACTGATTTATTTGTGGTGGACCGCCACTAATAGATTTGCACAAAGTTGTCCAAAACTCATGCAAGAATCGCGATATGGCTGGATTAAACTTCAAAAGGCTTTGATTTCATTGAATAAATATGAGTGCTACACGTTTCAAAGTCACAATGCGGCAAAATTCAATCCAGATGAATACTGAAAAATATTTTCCAGGAGTATTTTTTCAGAAAGCCCCGTAAAATAGCATGTTCAAACAAAGGGTCTAAATGTGCTATAAAAAGTAGAGATGTTGGGGAAATTTTGAATGTAAATAAAGTTCTTCGCAATTTGAAATATTTGCATTGGAGCATTTTTTTAGTATTATAATACAAAACAAAAAAATCCCCCCCTCCATCGGGGGACCTGCCACCACAAATACACTGCAAGGCTGTAGGAAACGCTGAATGTAATAAAAAATAGACTATATGATGAATTGCTTTCTGCATTAATCCTTACTGCATTTATGTATTCATTTAGCAGATGCTTTTATCCAAAACGACTTACAATTAGGGAACATCACAAACCATTTATTCATTTATGGCTGCATTATTTGAGTTAAAAGTAAAAACTAGATCAGTACATGAGGGATAGCAGAGGTGAAACACAGAAAAGAAGAGCAAGAGAGAGCAGATTTACAGTATTTATTTTGATTCCCATTAACTAAAGGTCGCAGGCCGCTCTCTTGGTCTGTCAAAAAGACGTGATTTAATTTAAAGGGGACCTAACACACACAATTTCACCCAATCTCATATTAATCTTGAGTACCTATAGAGTAGTACTGCATTCTTCATATCTCCAAAAAAATAAGTCTCTAGTTTTATCATATTTATAGAATAAAGATACAGCTTTCCGATTCTCTCCGGAAACAGCCGAGCTCCTGGAGGCGTGTCGTGGGCGGAGCTAAAGAGTGACGAGCACTTGAGCGCCGATTGTCAACAGAACACAGACATTTGATGCGGTTTCACTTATCGTCTGCAGTTCTGGATCATGACCGGGATCTTTTATAGCTGGGACCGCTCCATCTTTCAGTATCAAACGATGTGCAAATCCAGCGTCAAACTGGGCCTTGTTTATAAAACGTTCGTCAACAAACACACTTGTGAAACTCCGTTGCTGCCCCGGAAAACAAACTGCATCCGCTGTTTACGTAACGCTGGATTCTTCGGGAAGCTGAACAAAGTTATCTTTCCCTTACAACCAAAAACACACCTCTTTAGAGACATTCTTCCCGCGCGAGTCCCGAGCAGCACTGCTGAAATAAGCGCGTTGATGGGCGCGCTCTCGCTCTGGTCGATGTGTGCGCGGGCGCGCCCTTCCGGGAGAAGTGCCCATATAAGGCATAGATATATATAAGTAGATGCCTCATTAGTGCCTCAAATCGTTTTTTGAAACTTTGGCCATGTTTAGCATGAGAATCCAACTCTTTAACAGTGTAAACAACTCTGAATGCATGAAACAGCATTGTACCCCCCTTTAAAGCACATCTACTTGAATATTTACTTTGAAATACTACTGATTCCTCTTGATCTTTATAGCTAAACATAAACCAGCTCACTGACACTGTCTGTATATTCGCCTGTCTGTCTGTCTCAAAGACTGATGGAAAAGGAATCATGCATTTATATTTGCTGATGTTTCATGAAAAGAAAAGAAAATTATCAGAGGACCAAATACAAATTAACAATTTACTGCAAAACACAAGCAGATGTCCTCACACAAACACACACAAACACACACACGCACACGCACACACACACACACACACACACTCACACACACACACACTTACACACATACTCACACACACACACACACACAAACACACACACACACACGCACACAAACACACACTCACACTCACACTCACACACACACACAACAACAACTATGAGAACATTATTTCCCTCCTGTTACGTTCTCCTGACTGAGCGCCCACAGCTGCAAAGAGCTCCATCGAATTAGTGAGACGTGAGAGGGAGGGCATATGCTAATTAACCTACATTACCTGGCCAATGCACTGGATTCCTCTGGCAAACTAAAAGTACTATGGTATTACCATATTTCTTACAGCACAGCCAGAGGAGCGTTCTGTGAGGAAACTTCTGTCATCTGCGGTCTAGTTTAGTTAACTCTCATCTTACGGCAGGGTTTTCCTGATATCATCATATTCTGGTGGCTGTTTTACATTCAGGTCAGGTGACTTTATGAGTCATGATGTGAATGGACAGCGCCACAGGACCGACTGCTGAAAACCAAGGCATAAACATAAAATCAAAACTGCTCACGTGGGTTAAAATACGCTTGAGCGAGTTCTGTTCTCTGAGCATGTGATTTTATGGGACAACAGGACATCATGTGACGTTTGGAAGAGAGCTGGAGCATTTAACCCTTGTTCAAACGCTCATCATTCTATTGATCTACAAACGAGTCATTTGGAGCCGAATCTACTGTGAGTGTTAAAATCGAAGCATCTAAATCTCATTTATCTTTATAAATGGCCTTCATGAGTGTTCATACACACTGTACGTGTCTGTGACTAAATGCTTTCATTGAGACGATGTGAAGCACACACTCTCTCTCCAGCCATCAATCTTTGACCCTGCTGTAAGGCCAATGTCATGACGTGGGGAACAGCGTTTTTCCATCTTCTGAGCAGTGACTGTTGAAGTGGCCTATGCCACCGCTGCTCTGTAAACAGGACAATCTCATCAGTCCTCAGCAGCTCTCGTGATGCTCTTCAACATCTCACGACATCTCAGACCGCTGCTCTTTACAACGACACTATTCTCACATCAGCACTCATGAATTCTGGGAACCGGAAACCATCAGCTCTTTCCAGTTTCAAAGTGCAATCATCTAAACGCTTCTCTGTCCCAACTGCTGCGAGATTCCGGACGCTCTCTTGAACCGCAAATGTTTCTGTCGGCTAAGACAACTTCTCTGGAAAACTATTGTCTAACTAATCCCTGTGTGATTGTAAAAGAAAAGCATTTTCTCTGTATTTCATACACACATACAAGATCTCCAGCTTCAAATCTTACTGGCATATCTGGGGAAAAGCAGCATATTCCTCTCTGGAAATCTCTACATTTATAATCATACAGTATTTGTGCCAGGAATGAACAGACAACAACGTCTGTTCAGTTTCATCTCGTGGAGCGTTAGTACAAACACAAGCTCAGCTCTTGGCTGCGAGAACAAATGATCGACACAGAAACACATGTAAATGCCGTATTACCTTTGGCGTCTTGGCAAATCTCCCATTTCTCGTATCCTTGATGAGCGAGACGTCTAACAGGTCGGTCTCCTGCAATCACAAATGAGATTTATGAGTATTATGAGAACAGCGTGTTTAAACTTGCGTCCACAGCACAATTATGAAAGACAATAATGTAATAAAACGAAATAAATATATAATCGTGACATATGATGGGAAACAGGTCGCTTCTTGCTCTTTTTAAATGAAAGACTTTGACGTTGTGTGCCTTAAAGCGACAGCGTACAGGTCAGAGGAAGGTCAAGCCCATCGTCAGCCAATCATAACAGAGCTCATTTACATACAGAAGTCTTAAACACTCTGTTTCAAGTCAAGTCACCTTTATTTCTGTAGCGCTTTATACAATACTGATTGTGTCAAAGAAGATTTACAGAGTCAAACAGGAAAATAGTTTGTCAATAATGCAGAGGCATTGAACCAAAACTCCATCAGTGATAGACTGGAACCGGGAACACTTCCCATAATACCCGATGTACTCGCTACATCATGAGAAGAATGGCATCTACGCTAATATTAGTCTCTTTCATTCTTATTCTGAGGTCACCATAACCATACAGATCCAGTCCGTATCCAGATCAGATGGTGGATCAGCACCTAGAGAGGACCTCTACAGCCCTGAATGTCAGCAGAGACCAGGACAACTAGATGAGACCCAGACGACCATCGGCACAAGACCACAGGAACCAGACGAGTCCTCTGCTCAATCTGACCTGTGCTGGCCCCCGACTGAGCCTGGTTTCTCCCAAGGTTTCTTCTCCATTTCTGTCACCGATGGAGTTTCGGTTCCTGGCCAGACGAAACCAGCATGGCGTGGTTTAATTCCAGGCTGAAACACAGGTCAGATTGAGCAGGTTGACCTAATTAATGCAGCCTAACAATCCTTTTGAATTATAGAATTTATAGAATTATAGGATTATAGAATTATATGATTTGAATTATAGAAATGTGTAAGTGTGTTATGTGTAAGCCAGGGTCTTTAATCTAGATTTAAACTGACAGAGTGTGTCTGCCTCCCGAACAATGTTATGTAGATTATTCCAGAGTTTGGGAGCTAAATAGGAGAAGGATCTGAATATTAATTTTGATATTCTAGGTATTATCAAATGGCCAGAGCGTTGAGATCGCAGCGGACGTGAAGGACTATAATGCGATATGAGCTCGCTCAAGTACTGAGGAGCTAAACCATTCAGGGCTTTATAAGTAATTAGCAAGATTGTAATCTTCAAGATCTGTGTAATTGTAAGGGACAAAGATAGGGCGGAAAGAGTATTGTTTTTGGTGCAAAAACCTTACATGTACATCAGATAGTGTCCTAATGAGACCTCCGGAATGAAAGCAGTATTTAAGCAGAGCCACGCTCTTTAACCACAGCTTAAATATCAGCAGGGATTGAAGGACCTTTAAAGATCCATTATTGATGTTGAGAACGAGAGTGTGAGGGAAAAGACGCCTCGAGAGAAACATCACCGGCTATTATAACATGTTGAGAGTCATTCGATATTGTGAATTGATCAATCCTGAATGTACAAATGTGCATCTGTGCATATCCAGCAATATTTCTTAGCTTGAAGACTTTATCATCCAAGAATGAGAATTCATCACAAAACCTCTTTTTTTTCTACTGTGGAAGACAAAACTAATGTTTCTGAATAGTCTTTGTGCACCTCTGAACACTGACTTCAGACAGAGCAAATGTTGAGAGAATTAATCATTTCCTCAAATGCCTTCAGTTTAATTTGAACACTCTTGTTAGCAGTTATCAAAAGCATTATCAGTGAGATCATGCATGTTTGGATTCAGAAGAAAATACCAAATGTTGTCTTCTGCAGTACACTGTACTGAGTCATGGAGTGTCAGCATCTTTTCTTCTCTTACAGCGGTCACTGGATTGACTCGGCCACACACACTATCAGACACTGTATCAACATACAACGCTCTCTAAAGCGGATTAAATTGGTCTCTAAAACAACAAGTGCATCGGGTTCCGAACCTTTTGTTTGCGTCTCTGAGAAGTGTTTAAAGAGTGAGACAGACGTTTAAATAAACTCCGTTTCATAAAAGAGCCACACACAAACACAAGTGACGCTCTACAGGACACAATGAGACGAGGACAGTCCTGTTCTCCACACTGTCTTCTGTTCACAAAAGCTGAAATAGATACTGATGAAAAGTGACATTTATAGGCTGTGGAAAATAGCTGATTTCTGTTCAACATCAACATTTTGGAGTTCCTAAATGACTGCAGGTTGGGTTGATGCGCACCGCTTCTAATCTGACATCAGACAGACGAGGGTCTGATTCATATTGCTAACTAAAATGGCAAAACCTTTCTGAAATCATCTGATTGTCATTGTTAATAAATGGGCACAATGACACTTCTGACCTGGATTAGGCAGGCAATAATGTTATTGTGGCTTTTGCTCAAATTATTTTCAAAACCACAGATCGGACAATAAATGCTCACAGATGTGTTTATATCTGCATGTGACGGCACCAACGGAGCTGATCTGTACTGTACATGAAAATGACCAGCGCTGCTGTAGAGAATCTCCTGTAGTCTGCGTGCACAGGGTTATATCAGTCCACCAAAGACCTCAGAAGATCAAGGGACAGCAGAGCCTGTGACTGGATTTGACAGCGTTTGCTGGGTTCTTTGACAGAGAGTCATGAAGCGTTTTCTTTTGAGACACGCTGAATTTATGAGACACCCTTGAGCAGAACCATACATTCCCTTCTGTTATGACCGATTTACCCAAATGTCTCCTAAACATATGATTGTCATTAAGATGGTCTCTTGTGACTGTGACTATGCTGAGAGTAAATAAATAAATACAAAATCTGGTTACACATTACACAAAACCACATGTGCCTATATGCAAATATATTCGCTAGCTTCTCATGAGCATGATATTGCTGCCGAGAAGGAAACAGAACGACTGCAGTTTCTGTGAGCAATAAGAGGGTTTGTGATGTAATGATCGATGATACTGGTGCATTCTGTCTTTACAGAGCTAAACATCTAGCAAGATGTAGGAGAGCAGCAGTTTGTGGCACTGAAAATTATATGATTTTGTGTATTAAATAAATATCAGAGGACAGGGGAAATGGTGGAGGGAGCCATAAAGTTTGCATATGGTTGTGTAATGTCTACATATAAAACAAAACTGCCCTTGCATTGTTTTTAGAGGTACCATAGCCACATTTACATTCAAATGAATACATAACGGGCAGCTGTAGAGTTAAATGTATTTGAACTCATGTGGCCCTGCTGTGTAACTCCTGCAATGGTAGAGATGATCACACACACACACACACACACACACACACACACGCACACGCACACGCACGCACACACACACTCACACTCACTCACACACACTCACACACACTCACACTCTCACACTCACACAAACACACACACACACTCACACACTCACACACTCACACACTCACACACTCTCTGTGACTGGATGTGGCTTCACACAGCGCTGGGGCTTTTTAAACACACTTCAAAGCAGGACCTTTATGCTGATGATGGAAATGCTAACCTTTGACTCAAAACACCTCCCACTGCAAACAGCCAACACTACATCGATCGAGGAGACCCTCCGCTTTAAACTCAAATGAATCAAATGGAAGCTGATTATATCTGGGGAAGAGGACTTTTGATGGCTTGACACCACGTCCTAACCAGACCAGCGACGAGCAGTTTGTCTGTCCACACCAGACGCGACAGAATCACTCAAATATCAATTATGGGCTCTCTCTCCAAGCGCACTGCACTCCCAATGAAATGGATAAGTTTATTGTTTATTGACTGCATTGTAAAATATTTTGACTACAAACTGCCTGCTATTTAATGTGATATTTAGGGGCAATTAAATCTAAAATCTGGGATCAGTGGAACTGCTCAAGGGTGTCTCATTAATTCAGTGTGTAAATGCTTCATGACTGATCTGTCAAAGAACCCACCAAACGCTGTCAAATCCAGTCACTACCTCGTGAACTTCTGAGGACTTTGTTTCCTGGTGGACTGACATAAACCTGTGCATACAGACTACAGGAGATATAGAGATACAGATATCTATAGAGTGATAGGCACTGGCACGTGAGCCATACCGAAACAGATGCCTGTGTATAAAGTCCATCAAATCTGTATATACACCTGAGTTAGAAAATGGAAGAGCAGCCTGATTCACTGAGCAGCAACGCTGAGCAATCCTTCACTCGTCGCCGGTCTCCTGCTGTCAGGAAGAGGAAAGATCGACAGAACTTGTACAGTCAGCATCAGAGAGACATGCTGTCGAAGCAACGCAAACATCATCAGCATCATTACCTGCCGTATCAAGATCAGTCTCCATCTATTTAAAACTCTGTTCTCATTACACCAGCGCAACACTATCCTGTGCTGTCTGCGATGCTACGATTTCAGTCAATGTCAAGCAAAACAACCAGTAAACCAGCCGATGTCTTTGTGGATGTCAGAGCTTTGGTAAGCACGGGGGAGACTCAACTGTGCCTCAGGATCTAAATTAGTCCTATACGGTATGACAAGCAGCCCTGTTAGCCACAGTTCAGCTTCAAAATAACCCTGTGAATCACAATATCATGTTCTCTCACTATATGTCCACAATACAGAGACTCCATCGGTGCACCCTTTGTTAAAACTAGAAAGATGCAACTTTACATTGCTTTCTGTTATAGTAGTTCCTTTATGTCCTTCAGAAAAATCCTCCAGTTCCTGCACATTCTTAGTTTTTCTGCACATTTGAGCTCTTCCCAACAGTGACTGTGTGACGAGGAGATCCAGCTTCCACTAGAACAAGGGTTTCATACACAACTATTACACACGATAAGAAGGAGAGGATAGAAACTGTTTAACATGGTGATTTTTCAATATTTAAATAAAAGAATAAGATCTTTTATCTGTTATATTAGTACACATTTTACAAGAAAGCCCCAAAGTCCAAACACACTCAGACCCTCTCAGATGTGGTGCGAGTTTACATCCTCTCTCTCTAGAAATACAT